ATGAACTGGAGTGTCTATACAGATGCACCTCCTGGGCTCCATGTTCTATAGGGAGTCACCCGAGTTGACCGTGCCGTTGTTAGTGTGTGATTTTGGTGATGTGTTTAATCAAAAAATAGGATGTCAATATTTGTATTTTATTAAATTTCTATTTGTTGTGCCTTTTTGAGTTTCAATGTTTCCTTCGGAACAGCATTATGTTGTTTAAATTGATACTTACATTTGATCATGTGTGCATGCTTATTTGCTCATAACATGTCTTACGTATTATCACTTTACTCTAAATACTGAGTCATTCTTCAGCACTCGGAGGTTCATCTCACTCGCCTTCTACAGTTCACTTTGCTCAGCTTGTACGCTTACCATTCTCATGTCTGTCTGCATAAGGGAATGCATAAGACAAATTCATCCTTGAAAAGGTATTTCACTTCCTATTACCATCATCGCACAAACGCGTTTTTCCTAAGTATGATATACGCAAATGGACAGGAACATTTGTTTCATTCACACTCGATCATCTGTCCTCGTTGGAATATTGATCTGAAAGCTGTAAAACGTATTGCTAGGCGCTACCTTCAGTTGATTGACGATGCCAGTATCCTAAAAAAAGACCGTATCAGAGTTTCTTGATAATGTTTACTCCGTTGTTCAATGCGCTTTCTGTCTCAATTTCAGCTTGTGCAACACTTTCACTCTGATCTAACGGAATGTTGATTGAATGTATGAAACAATTACCGCTTCTCTGAATGCAATGTTGTGTTTCAAAGATCCTAGTGATCCAAGATTTGAATCCATTTAGGACGAATGATAATGGTTGCTGCGAAATACATTCTGTCCCCATTTTTAGTCATCAAATCTAAACTATTCTTTTCATGGAGGGCGATGATTAGAAGTATCAAAGCATTTTTCTCCCAGCAATGCATGTAGACATACAAGAATATAAAAAGCATTTGAACATAGCGAAACGAGTCGGAGAAGGTGAATGCACCGACTGCATGTGCCAAATAATTAATTTTTATCATTTACAAATTAGCAAGTCACGTATTAGGAAAGTAGGCTTGTACAAACACTCCAGTTAGAACAAGCCTTCCGATTTAACAATAACAATACTGAAGCTGATCACACGGAAACGAGCATTGGCTGCTGACTAGCATCAACCAAACGCTTGCCTCAAGTTTGACACAGTAACTGTTCAATCTTCTCATGACAGCTTCTGATTTTTGTCCGAAGGTTTGTCTTAGTCTTTCGCTTTCCTTTCAGCACTGAGAATTCAACTTGTGATTTCAATATCAATGTATCCTTTCACATTTTGAATACAGGTTGTTCGACAACGTCACCAATTTGAACTGATAAATGTTTCCAAAACCAATCAATATGTTTCGACCAACCACGTACTCAACAATGCAGTCTCTCTCTATTGTCTACAGTATTGTCATTAGATCTAAACTATTCCATTCATGAGACGGTGATGATTAGAAGTATTGAAGCATTTTTCTCACAGCAATGCATGTAGACATCCAAGAATATTAAAAGCACTTGAACATAGCGAAACGAATTGGAGAAGGTGAATGAACTGACTGCATGCGCTTAACCACGAATAACTAATTATTGTCAGTTAAAAGTTATGCAGATAATTAGTAAGCAAAGTAGGCTTGTAAAAACACTCCAGCTAGGACAGGCAATCCGATCTAACAATAACAATACTCAAGCTGGTCACACAGAATCGAGCATACGCTGATGGCTAGCATCAACCAAACGCTTGCGTCAAGTTTGAAACAGTAACTGTTCAATCTTCTCATGACAGCTTCTGATTTTTGTCCGAAGGTTTGTCTTAGTCTTTCGCTTTCCTTTCAGCACTGAGAATTCAGCTTCGAAGCAAAAATGTGGTTTCAATATGTTCCAACCAAATCATGTACTCAACAGTTCAAGCACTCTCTCTTCTATATTGGATGAAGTTCAGTACATCTACCTAGAATTTTGGTCAACAATATTGATTTCATCAAACTTCAATTTCTTATTGGTTGTTTCCAAACATCAAATCAGCGATCGTATTACAAATGCATATTTAACTTAGTGATGACTGCATCATCGTTAACCAGGTCTAGAAGTATATTCTAGAAACAACCTGCAAAAACACAGTACAATCAAGCATACAACTATCGTTTATTTAGGCATCATAGAAACCTCCTTGAGACAGAGAGGAAAATAGCACACTAAAATACACAGCAGCCAATCACAGCCATTGATTTTGCTGGTGGGAATTGAAATCTCAAGGTCATTTGATCAGCCCCTGCTGGCGAAACGAAAAACCAAAACTACGCATTATCATGCGAATTTTGGGTATCTAACATCCCCAACAACTCCTCCCCTTTTTAATAGCTTGTTCTCCTGTGGGCGACTTGCAATCTTGACTATTGTTCGCCGCTGTCTGAGGGGATACCTTCGGGAACGAAGATCAGCTTGCTGCTGAGTTTCTTCTCGTTGCGGGCTCTCGGTAGGTTGAAGGTATCAAGCAAGATGTCAAGGGGAAGGCTTTCTGCTCTTTGATGGGCGATCTGGGCTAGCCGTCTGCGTATCTGATTGCGATGACGTGACCATTTATCACCTCCTACCTCTACTTCGTACATAACTCGACCAACCCTTCTGACCACTCTCGCTTCTACCCAAGGACACACGGTTCTTTCTGTAGTCGCGGGCAAACACAGGGCATCCCACCTCGTAAGCGGATTGTCTTTGCTGCTTTGTCTCTACTGATGAGGGTGCATTGGTCGGATGCATCAGGCTGTGGAATCGTTTTCAATCTTCTTCCCATCAGGATTTCAGCTGGGGACTTTTGCTCCGGTAACAATTCATTTGGTGTTGTCCGATAGACGTACAAGAAATTTTGTAACGCTTTCGGCTGGCGTCCCCTCCCCTTTGACTGAGCAGTTGCTCACTTTTAAACGTATCCACAAACCTTTCCCGCCTGCCCATTCGATTGCGGGTGGTATGGTGGTGAGCGTAAGTGTTTAATAGCTAGCCGTTGACTAGAAATTCTGGAATTGGGAAGAGGTGAATTGAGAGCCATTGTCGTATACGATCACACTGGTATGCCATTTCGTGAGAAAATTTCAGTTAGGAGCTGTATAGTCTTAGTTGTAGTGGGCGGCATAACGGGGCTGATTTCCGGCCATTTAGAAAAGGCGTCGACGACATTTAAATACATATTTCCATTTATTGGGCCAGCAAAGTCGACACTGTATCCTGACAA